GAACGGTGGTTCTGACTGTCATAAGATCCCGACACATAGCATCTAAAAATGGACGCCTTTCCGTGGGATCCACTGGTCGCGGTAGTTTTGTGTTTCGCTTTTTTGTACACTTCACCATCATTACGGTGTGGTGTTAGCTAGTGTGTGCTAATCAGCAACCACATTTGTGACTGCCCCAGGTGATGTCCAACGAACCTGGCGCAATCGTCACATACATCACGGTATTTTGTAGACTGGCGCAGTATGTACAGGACCTACAACTCCTGTGATAGGGAAGGGGGGGGGGCGGTGAGACAGCCGCCCCCAAAGTTAACACAAAAATGGTACTAATGCTACCATACTGCATGCATATAAACAGCTCTATCTTTCTCTTTCCATATATGTCATATTTGATATTTTTTGTTTTACCATATATACATATATATGCACGGTATATATATATATATATATATATATATATATATATATATATATATACATATATGTGTGTGTGCGTGTGTGTATGCGTTCGATGGAACGCTTACCACACGTAACCCATGAGAAGAGGACGGAAAACTTCCTGAATTGTGGTTTTGACTACATATACACATTTATAGATATACATGTATATATATATATATATATATATATATATATATATATATATATATATGGAACTCGTACAGGATTCGTTTATTTTACGTCAAAAAATTATGGAGTTGTTCTACGTTGGAATGAGTTACCATCTCTCCTCATTCTCCTTTTTCTTTGGAAAGGGAGAACGTCTTCCTTTTTGTTTTTCATTGTTTGTCTTCCTGATCTCATCGCACCTAGCTCAGTTCTTAGAAATGAATGTCCAATATCGCGTGTTTGTGTGTTATGTATATATATTAGTTACCGTATGATTGACGATATTCCCCGCAGGAATGAAACACTGTAATTAATAGAGAACCTTGGCGGCGCATTTGAAGAATTCCATTCTGAACAATGAAAGGCAACGCAGCATATTGAACCCCATGCTATAGGACAGATTGATGCTAGGTATGCTGACCTGGCATTTATGAATGGATATATATATATATATATATATATATATATACATTTTGGTTTTGGTTGTTCGGAACCATGAGTAAATGCGTTGAAATAAGTGGGCAGAGAGCAGCGACGGACAGCACCTGGTGAGACTACCTCGTCACGACGGTTATTTATTGGGCAGCGTTCAGGCCAGCTGGCCGGGCGGGTGCCGGCGTACGGCAGCGGCCGCCAACGGGGAGCAGAAAAGGGCGCGGGCTGCTGTCCGTCTCGTTAATGGTGTACGCGGAGGGACGAGTGTTATTGGGAGGCACTCACCAGCGCGGCCGCCAGGCGGGTGTGCCACTAACGGCTGCCGGCGGCGCCGCCGCATGAATAGCGCATGAGACGCGTCGGCAGCCGTCAGTCTGGCCGGGATCAGACGGCATGGTGGGGCAGCGGGTATGATTGCTGCCCTCGCTATTATTTCGGAAGGACTGGAACAGTACGACAGCAAAAGTTTTGTCCAGTTACGGGCAGTAAGGATCCATTCTTGCCCGTTGTAACTGCTAACTGTATGTTCAAAGTTCTGGCGACTATGTAGCCGCAAACTAGTTCGGATCAAGACCCTAGGAGTGGTCTTGCATTCCTGAATGTCAGGAATCTTTGCTGGCGGGCAGTGGGACTATCTGCCCACATGATGAAAGGCTGGATAATGCTGGAATACCGGAGAACGTCGCCACTGGACACTGCCTTTTCCGTCTCGGATCGCCAGCAGTGTATGGAAAACAAGAGTCACAATCTGAGCTCCACGAGACGTGGCGCCGTCACGTGACGTGAGGACGAGCCTCAGCACCACATATGAAGCATAACGTAAATATCTAGCCTAGATCATTTCAGCAGCAGCCTGTGTTGTTCGCAATCATTCCAAGCACAATTTTCCATAAACGTGGCCTGGCGTCGTATAAAATAATCGGCAGGCAGCGCTATGCCTCTAATATGAAGAGCTTTCGCCCCTTAATGAAATGCCTGCCTGGTCAATCACTATAAGAATAAAGAGACGTCTGCCCCTCATTCCCGCTCATCATGAGGCTGGACCGTATGACGCCAAGAACTACGCAGGGCACGAGTTATAATAAGCCAACGCTGAAAATATGCCGTAATCAAAATTGCGTATCAGTAATTGTTTGACTTTTGAGTGCGCATTGGTTCCTCTGAATACTTTATAGCATCGTTATATAGACTGATGACCGCCGATTTATTACATCATCTGATTTCCCATACCCCTTTTATCCGACCAAACAAATTCAGTTCCAGCAGCTAAAAGCCAAGCACACATCAGAAGCAGCACGTTCCTGACGATTAACCCCGAACACGTGCATTTACGCTCTCGCAAATTAACATTGGTTCCTTGAGTTCGTTCCAATCGTGCGCATCAGTTTTTTAACCCATTTCTGTTCCTATCCGTGACGCTGGAGGCTTGTCGATCCCCTCCGGGGCTATCTATGGATATCCATCCGATCTGCGATTGGCCTCAACCCGGGCCTGCTCCCATCGGTCTATTTCGGCCGCGAAGTTTGCCGGCTGGCTGGTGTTGCCATGCGCTGAGGAAGCTCTGCAGGTGCTGCACCTTTTGGCGGCGCCATCGACACCCTGCAGATGATCCCGGCGGTGTATGGGCTCGGATCGATGCATGCGTTGACGCTTCTGTACGACTTATGTGTACTTTATGAGGGCAACCCTCGGGTGCCCCGGTTTTCAGTCTGTGCGTCCTCATTGAACTATCCTACAACGCAAATCCGATTTCAGCGGGAGGAAGCCGCAAGTCAATCAGGTTGCTGTCGGCGGATTATCAAATTGTGTGCCAATTTGTGCGCCGGTCCCTCGCCAATCGAGTTCGACAAAGTTAGGTTAGGCTTTCCTTGCCGAGAACTGTTCACCTAACGCGCCCCTAGAAACCAACTTTCTCTGGACAATGTGGTTGACCTGACCGGTCACATGCACCGCCCCAGGCTCACGGTCACATGGCCTGACTCAGGTCAACAAGCGGACTCGCAGCACACGTAGACGGCGGATAGCGGTAGTGGGATACGAACCGGCGCTGAGCTGAGACATGAAGCAAACACGACTTGCATGCGAACGATGCTTAAAAGAATGCCGTCATCTAAGCCCGAGCCCAGAATCGCTTTAGATTCCGCATCGAGGGCGTGACTGTTGACCACCACTAGGATCAGGACGGGGGTCTCGCGGCGTGCGACCCGTCCCACCAGTCCCACCCATCCGACCTGTGTCACCAGTCCCACCCACCCGACCTGTCTCACCAGTCCCACCCATCCGACCTGTCCCACCTGTCCCACCCATCCGACCTGTCCCGCCAGTCCCACCAGTCCGCCCACCAACCCCATCCGTCTCGCCCTTCCCACCAGTCCCACCATCCCGCGGAGCCGGCCAGCTTCCTCAGCCGCCGGCGCCGCGAGCTGCCGAGATAGCGCCGGGCGGTCGTGCGGCCCTGTAACGGACGCCTCCCCGGGGTTTCGCCGGCGGCGCTAAATCCGCATGTCCTCCATGACGCGGCCGGCCCGCGGCGGCCCCTGTGGCCGGGTCGTCAGAGTGGGGCGGAGGGGGGGGGGGGGGCGTCGCCAGCGTCAGCGACGGCAGCCAGGCTCAGGGGTGGCTGCATGACACCACTGCTGACTGTCGGGTGATAACGTCTGTCGTCGATAACGGTATTGGCTGTGTTGCCCCCCCCCCCCCGCCCTTCCCACTGGCCCGATAACGCGTGCATGCAGCTGTTGGGTTTGGGTTGCGTGTGAGGGTTTCGCTAGGATACCTAGCACACGTGTCACTGACACGGAAAGGCTGACGACTCGCCCTCTTAGTCAGAACGAGTGGTTTGACTCACCCCCCGCAGGACGAGCGTCTGGGAGGCGCAACAAGCATATTATTGGCAGGAGTAAAGCTCACTTGTGGCGCAGGGTATTGGCTCCATGCCACGTATCGAGCGGCCAGCAACAGCGCAGAAGCCACTGATAGTTCGACAAAAGCCATGACGATAGAGACCTACGTCCCTTGCGAAGCGAGAGATGGTATATAAATCAGATCAGAGTTCGGTTAGCGTGGAAGGGAGAACTACAGCTACATTATGCAGCCCGTTGCGACAAATATGCGAACGTTAAGGCCAGGACTAAAAGAAGTGGCGCGGAATTTTGAATACGAATAGCCCTTCATTCACTTGAACCGTGGTATGAATAATCTGACCAGATGAGCGATATCCAGTCATGATGGTTAATGCGAATAATGCGCCCGCTGTCCAGTCGTGTGCCAACAAATATATGTCAGACGGACAACTTGCGTACGGTCCACGAATAAAGCCCGCCCTAACTCAGCCTAGCTATATGTTTAGCAAACGGTTTTACGCGCCTTTCAAACATCCGCGCTTGCAGAGCTGATTAATCTTTTCCGTGACGTGCGATGACAGATGAACCGACCCAGATGAGCTCTTTGCGGACAGCTGCCAGATGATCTCTTTGTGATATCGGACCTAATATTGCTCACGCTCTCGGGCTCGTATCTACAGTCACCGGACAGCGCGCCTGGCACATTTCTTTCTGACAACAGCGGTGACTACATGGCAGCCCAACGCGATCACAATGAGGAGCGTTGTCAATCATGAGGGCTGGTCGTAAAAAGATCCGCGTTATATGAAGCATTTTCTGTAAGCTCTGTTATCCAACAGCTTTTTTGATGCATTGTTTTGAGCCTCTAGGTTGTTTATTTTTTAGCACAATTTTGGGAAGGGCTACAGCAGAAATTAGGAGCATTTCCATCCGAGGTCATGAGGTTTGTCAGGTTAGAAGTCTCCGCCTCCCTCAGAGCCATTGTTTTCATGCAGCTTCCGGTGAGCTCGACAAGCTTCCTGTCCTGCAGCAGCCGGAGATCTCACCTGTCACGCACGGGTGCTGCTTGAGAAAGGCCTTCTTCATGCGGTGGGTGCTGCGCACAATGCCGACCTCCACCGGCGACTCGATGGCCGAGAATATGGCGGCCCCCCACCACCAGGAACACCAGGTAGAACAGCACCAGGCACAGCAGGCGAACGTTGCCTCGGCGCGGCTCCAGCTTGGGCAGTCGCAGGCCAGCCACGCGGTCCACCAGGTCCGACACCATGCCGCTCGCTTAGGTCACCGCCGGGTCAAGGTCACCGCGCAGTCAAGGCCGCCGCCTCGTCAGGGTCACCGCTGCGTATCGCGGCCGTGGCGGACGGGCCAGCGTCGTTCGCGTCAGGGTCGCCCGTCAGGTGAGGTCCCGGAGCGGCACCGGCAGCTCGGTCAGCGTGCTGCGCCCAGCAGCCGGTCAAGGTCACGCGGCGGCCGGTCAAGGTCGCGCGGCGGCCGGCCAAGGTCGCGCCCAGGGGTCGCGGAGCGCCGCCGGCGGCCGGGCAGGCGCGCGCCCAGCGACTGCGGCGGCGGCGGCGGCGCCGCTATCAGGTCGGCCAGCCCGCGCGCTGATTGTGGGCCGGCGCAGCAGCGATCAATGGAGGGCGGAGGGGCGGGCTCGAGTCGTCGGCGCTGGGTCACGCCAGGCACCGGCGGAGGGGGCGGGGTCGTGCCGGCCGATGGCGAGAGGTCACTGGGTCAGGCCAGGGGCAGGTTTCGTGAGCGGGTCACTGGCATGTACCGGCTGTGGGTGTCCGGGACAGGCCAGTGGCAACATGGGCACCTTGGGGCGTCCCATGTTGTCCAACATCGGCAGCGCTGGCTACCCAGCCAGGGTTTGCCAAATCATTGACAGGTCAAACCAGCTACAAGCGGAAGCATCAGTTTTAATGGTTATTTGATGGTCATCGAACCAACAGTTCCTTGGATAACGCCAAGTAGGTGTTTCTTGAACATGTGCGTCTCATGCATCACCAAGCATTCTTTGAACAACGTGAAACCTGTGCATTGCAGCACCGTGCAAAACCAAACTACAAACAACGTTGCAACACCTTAGCCACTAACACACTGTCAGCATCCAACACGCGTTACACAATAAAGCTTATTGCGGTTAAAATACACCATCCCTACCTGTCAGGATGGCCGATACCAGGGAGGGGCGAGGAGCGGTCCACATCCCAAATTGGAAGTGGTCCCCATCCAAAAGGAAAGGAGTGGACCCCATCCAACGGGGGGAGGGGTTCCCACTCAAAATGGGTGAGGTAGCGGTCCCCATCGAACAGTGGGGAAGGGGGGGGGGACGAAGAGCGATTCTCATCCAAAATAAGTCCAGGATTAGCGTGGGATTTTCTCTTTTCAAACTCCCGAAGAGTATTGAGGTTGCGAGTAATAAAAGTAAGCGTATCAGCAGATGTGTTACGCAACTGCTGTCTTAATACTTGTGACCGAAGATGCCCCTGATCCTCTGAGAGCATCATGATGGATATCTAGAGGATTTATGGATCTGGTCGCTGACTAGGGGCTAAGATCCTCAGCAATGATGTGATGCGTAGAGTGAATGAACTTATGTAGAACTTAGGTGTATAGGGCCCCAAGTACTGGTTAGGGGTCCTGTTCCTGATCATTTCCAATCATATCAAATACCAAAAGCTCTGGTCAAGTCGAAGGACCCTCCAGACGTGTCAAGCGTATGCGAGAAAAGGCCAGGGACATTTGTGTGTTCAGGGGACATTCTAAGGGACAAGGGACAAGGGACATTTGTGTATTCAGGGGACATTCTAAAAGCAAGGAAAAACCTCTTCAAGTCTTGTAGGCCTGAATACCTTTTTGCCCTGTCACGTTTGGGCTGACTCGGCGCTGAACTAGCCCCCCCCCCCCCCACCCACCCCGCTCACCAGGCGGATCACTCTCAGGTCAGCCGAGGACGTGGTCCGTCCAGGTCGGCCGTGCAGTCCCTGGGCGGGGCCGGCCGACGATGGATCACTGCGTGGAGGTTAGTGCAGAGTTAAAGAAACTGTACACTTAAAAGTGGGGTCAGAGAGGCAACAGGCCCAGGCCAACCTCCAACATCCGCAAGGACCACGATTTCCAATAGATTGTAAGATGAATTAGGGCCGACCGTAATGAAGTACACTTGTTTGTGCCAAGAGAGGATTGAATGAAGGGAGCCGACCAGGATTTCCTGTAGTTGTGTCCCGAGGAGGGGGCAGCTGTCTCAAAATGTCTACAGGTGTCCAGAAGAAGGTTGGTTTAGTGCTCTTATTTCTCAATCAAAATAAAAAATGGGTACAGAAATTTTCCAATAGTGTATTGAATAAAGAAGATAACAAATAGATTCATAACTGACCTTTAAGATGAATCTCGATCGTGATATTATACGCCAAATGATGTGCGTAACTATGGTAACTAATAAAACATGGAACAGTTTGCTTTACCGAGCATGTAAGTAGAAGAGAAACATGGAACAATCTGAATTTAGCTCCTTTCTTAAGCCCCACCAGTGACTAGATTCTGTACTTCTTGCCTAGTGTAAAAACACGGATTCCTACGCATTGCCCTACCGCACTGCGATGACCTACAACGAACGCAGACTATAAGAGTGAAAATCCAGTACACCGCTGTTTCATGATGCACAGCACTCGTCCAGCCATCATGTTGACTGCAGGGTCTTGGTTGCAAGTCATTCAGGGCTCTTTTATCCATCAGATGGTGGCAATAGCTGTCAGTCTCGGACGGCCAATAACGAGACCCCGCCTCGCCGACAAGTGGATCCCATTCTTATCAATACGGCCGCCTGCAGACGAGTTTAGTGTATGTGAGCCCCTGGCTGTCAGAATTCCCAGCGGAAGTAGTTTTACTCGTGTGTCTGTGCCTAGCAGCAAGATACTTGAATCGAATCACGCTAAACGGGAACTGCCACGAATCGTACGCATCAACTGGATGCCGCGCAAATGCCAGGGTACAGCCACCATTCACGATGGCGTAGCTGTCGGACACACAGCCATGGCGTTTGGAGGTCACCAGAACCAAGGCGAAGCTCCATGACACGTGGTCAAAGTCCACAGGTCACGACGCATGGCTGAGCACTGACGGGGCAGACAGGCCGGGAGCTGGAACACTGAAGGGGTTCACAGGCCTGGAGCTGGAACACTAACGGGGTTCACGAGCCTGGAGCTGGAACACTGACGAGGCTCACAGACCTGGAGCTGGATGAATGTGCCGGAAGTTGAGACTTTTGAAGTGTTTGAGGCTTGGTGAAAATGTGTGCTAAAAAGACGGGTGAACGTGCCTGTGAATGGTGAACGTCAACACATGGTGGATATACGTGGAATAGTATTCCGGTAACACGGGTTCCTACGCATTACTTCACTGCATTACGATAGCCTATATTGTATGAAGCTCCCAACGTAAACAAGTCTGCCCGGCACCTCAGTTGGTTAGAACGCACACCTTCCGGTTCACTCATTCGTGGCGCGGTGGATTCGTGGCACGTTAGACACCCGTTGTTTTCTTCTAACTGGGATGGTGTGTTGCCGTTGCCAGACGCCACGCTATACGCAGGCCAGCCCACGTCAGAGGACTCGGTGGGCGGTGCCCAGTAATGTGGCACTTTAGACTGCCGTAGCAGAATTCTGGCGTTGACCCGCGATTTCACGATTGGATGGCCAGGGCTTACACATGAGGCACTGCTTAGCGTGAACGCAGATCTCAGAAATTCATGTAACCAGTAGGCTCAGACCGTTCTATATGCAGCTATCGTCCTGTTTCGAATGTGAAAGCGAGGATACCTCAATGGGAATGTTTTACTGTTCGCCTGTGTGGGCAAGATAATGATTTATTAAGCATATTTATATTTGACATCGTTTTTCTGGCAAAACTCATGAATGTTAAGCTGCATAGTGAGAAAAGCTCCATTCAGCGCAAACGCTTGTGTGTTTAACACGCGGCCGGCTGTGGACGTTAATATGAACTATTCTTAACGTCTTCCTAAGAATTTATTCCGAATGCTACGGCGCAGCAGCGCCATTTAGTGTAACAGACATTTGAAACGCTGATCTTGAGGTGCAGATAATAATATATAGCTTGCGAGATCGCTGACCTGCAGCAAATTCCAGTCAGGCCCAATGATTACCAGCCAAGGCAGTTTTGCTAACAAACAAATAAACAAGCAACAAAGGGAAAATTTCAATATGATGCGACAACGGAGTTTCAGGCGAATTCATCTATTTGTAAGATGTTTTCTTCGACACTTATATTTGGCTCTGGACAAAAAGACAATTGAAATCAGGAGAATCATTAATTTCATTGGCCTTGGGTTAAGTACGAATGCCAGACAAAGGTCAAATCCAAGCAGGTTGCTGACTGTCCAAATTTGATGGGGTGTTTGTCAGGGACAGGTATAGGATTTTGTTAGGGGAGGGGGCATCCATTGCCGTGGTGCTTCTGGAAATTGGTGCTCCTCTTTCTCACAAAGGTTTTCGTATTTCGGTTACTTCGTTTCCAGATCCTGATTGTTTCATAAGTACAACACCTCCGGCGGTATGGTCCGCCGCACTTAGCTTACTTTATTTAAGTAGGTCAACTTTCTTCTTTGAATTTCATGTCCAACTCCTTCAACCGAAATGAAAGCTTGAAGCTACCAGAAAATACAATCAAGCATGTGTTCAGCAGCAAACAAAATGAAATTAAGCAGTAATGAGATGATTGTATCGAATACATCACGGGCTCTATCTATGCCTCTTACAATGGTGCATCCGGCTCCTTCTATAAAGGGATAACAGTCTGGGACGTTGTCAGATTTTCTGGCAGCTTTACAAAGATACCGAGAGATGTGGGGACTGCACGCCATTGATCGAAGATCAACCTAAAAAAAAAGTGTGTTAGAACGTTTACCTTTGTTCGTCTGAGGAAGCTCATCCTTTCATTACAATTCGTCAGCGTAAATGAAGTAAGACATTTTTTACTATATGAGCTCGCCATCGAAAAATACGACAATCCTCGGAACCGCAGTCTACATGGGCTGCGTGGCGTCGGTCCCACGGCTAGCAACCGACGTTTTTTCTGGTCAACATTTGTTTAGCATTTTTTCTGATCAGATCATCGAAGGGGCAAAACCGATCGCGCGTCGGAAAGTTTTGTTTATTACTGATCTTTGGTGCTTTTCCAACGACAAACACAACAGGCCATGTGACACTCGTGGCTTTGTCCCTGTCCCTGTTCAGCAAATGTGTC